TTCATATTACTTGTTATAAACCAGTGGAGTAAGTGATAAGAAATTCCACCGGTGTATACATAATACCGATGGGATAAAATTGCATATTACGCAGCAACTAATGATGCAAACAACATAAAATTTATATAATTTACTAACTCAATTAGGCATTTTTTTCTTTTAACGATAACTCCAAAAATTTTTATTGGATTTCATTTTCCAACTATTATCTTATAATTATAATTCCACACAACAAAGTTGTAGAAATAGATGAATCTCGGCAGGCATATTCGGCTAATACTATTGATGCGACTTTTTTGGTTGACCGCTTCCTTCTATAAGCTGAACTGTTCTGGATTTTTATAAATGGTTATGAGGGGTATATTAGTCCAATTATAGGTCTCTTTAGTATTGTTGTTTTTCAAAATTTTTTTGAAATGTTCAAGTTAGCGATAGTGAAAAAAATTATGTAAAATAAAGAACAATAAGCTTGCTTACTCAACAATCAAATTCCATTTTACATTATTTGGATTTGGTCAAGTTATGCGCAGTATCATTCCGCGGAGTTCACTGATTATGAATGACGATCATCCCTAAATCCGATTTTCCTCCGTTATTTGGTTTCTTTCCTTATCGTTATGGATGGTCTAAAACTAAGACATGCGCAAGCGAATGGAGTAGGTCCGGATCCAGTAGAACTTCTTGACGAACAAGGTTTCTTTTTTTTTCTTAGATTTATTTTACCACTTTTTATTATTGGAAGTTACATCGTAACTAAATTTATGTAATAATAAGGACAAGAGGAAGTTATTGAAGAACTTCGAAAGCAAAATGAACGGGCTAATGGTTTTTTCAAGGTAATTCATGATATTTATCATATCTATAAAATCATTATGCAAAATTATGATGTCTAATGTGTATATTTATGAAATATTAGAAAGCATTGGCTTTTGTTTCAGCATTGGTATTGATATTGTAAGTCAAAAATCCTCTTCTCTTCTCATGTCGAAAACAAGAAAAACGGTTATAACATATCAATTTTGTTTTTAGACATTTAATTTTCGTATATGAAATTATGTCATCGTCATCATTATCAAATCCCATTATTCCTTTCCCAATCTTTGAACATATTTATTCAAGTGCATCATACAAAATGATTGCGACATTATCATCAATTGGAGCCTTAGTATTTTCAATATATCTTTTACAAGCAACAAATGTTACCATGTTACAAATTTACGCGGGTGCTTTCCTTTCCATAATTCCAAATCTTTTAGCGATACATACTGAAAGGATGGAAAAATTATGGTGGGCCATACCACTTGGATTGCTTATTTTAGATACAATTGCATTGTTTTTAATTAAGGATTCAGAACAAGATATTAGAAGTCTAGAGAAATTGAAATATAAATACAAGGGTGCATAGATTAACTTTTTTACTGTTTTTCTTATAAATGATCATTTTACGGACGATTTTCTAGTTTTATTTTATTTTATTTTTTTGAAGTTTATTAATTTATTAATAAATAAACATTAGATCGCGTATAAACGATCAACAAATCAACATTTTAGTAAAATTTTCAAAATGTATCATTTTTAACAATAATATAAGTCTAATATGATACATATCAAAAATAATAAATCTAAATTATTATTATTTTTTTTTTTTTTTTAACAAAATATTTTAACTTTTTTAGAAATCAAATTTCTTTTTGTTTTCCCAGTAACCTTGTCCATAATTGACAAATATTTGTTCATGGACCTATGTATTAAAATACAAATAAGGAAAAAAATTTTTAGTATAATGTCTTTAGCGATTGACGTAAGTTGAATCATGATAATTACATTGATATCCATTTGAGCGATGTAAAGAACGTGCCAAATATCATTATAAACGACGTAAAGTTGGTCACCATTTTGATTTTCTAATGTTTAAACATGATCAGTTAGTACAATTTACGATCAAACATATTTAGAAATTAACAATAATTAAATCGAAGAATTAAAAAAAGACTTACTGTCTCTGTGGTTAGCAAATCGCATATAATTTCCGTAATGTTTTGCATCAATACAAATCCTTACTTTGTTTCCTTCGTCATCTTTGGCTTCCACAAGATAATTAAATTCCCAAGCTAATCGTCGAAAATTAAAATTAATAAACAAATTCAATTAGATAAATGCGTGACATGAATTATGCTCACCATATTCTAGGTCGGTGAGTTGACGCGTTACCAATCCTATATAATAAAGTGATTAGGTTGATTAAAACGAGAGATGCCTTAAAGTTTGATCTCTTATAACGGAAATCATGATCTTACCAGCATAGATTCCTAATACGTCTCTTCTTTTGAAGGGTTTGGCAGCATACATGCCATATTTTACAATATCATTAATCCAGCGAATATAAATTCCTCCATCATCAACAAAAGTTCCATTTCCAACTTCAAATTTCATCTTTTCAACAATTGGAGCATAGTTGTCAGTTTCCCTGAGAATCGCTTTAACGGTATTTTGGTTAATTTCGGAAGAATTTTCCAGGCGGTATCTAAGATTATGCTTCTCCAATATGCCAACAATATCTTGATCAATCACCTATTAAATGTGGTCAAACCAGTCAGCGAATAAATTTAATTGGTTAACAAGAATTCTGAATTGAAGGAAAATATACGAACGGGAAAGTACAGTGGTTTCACGCCAAATTCTTCTTCAAAGTTTTCCATAAATATATGTCGATAAACAAAAGTTCCTGGCTCATAATTAAGATATTCTTCCTTATTTTTATTTTCAGCAGTAAACCATTCAGTTTGGTCATCATAATTTCCTTTGATTAGTTCACAAACCGTTGTATCTTTGTATTGATCATATGAGAATAGAAAAGCGACAAGTAACACTAGTAAAGCCGCTCCTGTAATAGGAGTGATTGTCAAAGTAAGTCCACTTGACGTCTTCACATCTTTCTCACTTTTACTTGACGAATTTACATCTTTCTCAATTTTAACATCATTAGCCGAGTTTTTGGGGGGCATTTTGAGTGGGAAAAAATTTTTTTTTTATATAAATTTGTGTAAAAACGAACCAAATTTGTTAACACAATACATTTAGATGCGCTTTATATATATTTTAAACATTGCTTGTGCTTGTACTAATAGAGAAGGTCACTTTTGGATTTTTATTACGTGGCAGTCGATTAATGGGAGGAGATAATTATTCCCTACATCAGATTTTTCTTATCTGGCAAATAATAATGTAAATCATTCATTCCATCTCAACAGAAAATACGGGTTTTGTTATGCAGTTAATACATTAATACTAATTTCCTTTTAACTAATGTTGGTAGTTAATTTTACCCCAAACTGTTCCACAGAAAGTTATGTTTGACATTTGGTGCAGGTCCTTGGGTACTCTGGGTACTCGTTTCAACTTCACAGCTGCGGAACATTTCACGTGAACTGCACGAATTACCAAATTGCTAAATTCTGCTAGAATTATGTATGGTCATGTGCAAAGAAATTCGATAAAACCTACTTCCCTGTGGTGTCTTTTTCTTTCTTTCCAGAAGTTGCAAACAAACCGCGTTTGTTTCCTTCAATTCTAACGTAAACGATGGACTCTAAAATAGCTCGTGATACCTTTGAGTTTTCTAATAATATTGTTACCGTTGATCCCACCCAGGATCAAATTTACCGTTACAATAACGACGAACAGGTACAAATTAATCAAGAAAAACCATGGGCTAAAGAGTGAGTGGTGTTGAATGTTGTTATTTATGTAATTTTGATATGTTTTTTAAGTTAACAGTAACAATCAGATCTTAGGAATCTGAACCGTACGCGTGAATTAGAATAGAACATAATAATTCTAAATTCAAGAATCTCCCTGTTACGAAAAGAATATTCTTTTAATAAATTTGATTTGGTTTATTAAACAATTTATGATCCTTTTTTTTTTATTTTATTCATATCAGCATTCATTACTTTACAAAAGTCAAGATTTCCGCGGTGGCTCTTATAAAAATGGTATTATGTTATTGGATCAAAATTTTAAATTTATTTATGATCATTGTTATTAAACTCGTCTATCTGAGAAGGTCATGCATGCTCGTTCTGGCGGAAATATTGAAGTAATGGGCTTAATGCAAGGGAAAATAGATGGTAGCACGATGATTATTATGGATGCTTTTGCTTTGCCAGTTGAAGGAACCGAGACAAGAGTGAATGCCCAATCGGAAGCAAATGAGTACATGGTTCAATATTTAACAACTATTAGACAGGTTCGTCATAACTAGGCTTATTGCTTATTTAAATATGTATTAATGGGCCGTTAAACCATAATAGGTGGGGAGATTAGAGAATATAGTAGGATGGTATCATAGTCATCCTGGTTACGGATGTTGGCTTTCCGGTATTGATGTAAATACTCAAATGACAAATCAGCAGTATCAAGATCCTTTTGTAGCCGTTGTCGTAAGTAAAAACATTTTTTTATTGTTAATCACGTTTCAAAATTCCAACAATTTATTAATGGGCTTTTAAAATAAAATAACGTTAGATTGATCCTAACCGAACTATATCTGCTGGTAAAGTAGAGATTGGCGCGTTTAGAACTTATCCAGCGGTAATAATAATGAATATTTTTTTTGTATTTTACGAATGATAAAAAATAAATATCTAAAATATTTTTCTCCTTTTGAATAAAGGGATACAAAGCACCGGATGAAGGTCCGTCTGAATATCAAACCATTCCGTTGAGCAAGATTGAAGATTTCGGTGTTCATTGCAAACAGTAAATTACTAAATTAAAATTTTGTTTAATTTTATTTAGGTTTCACAACTAAACTTTAATTTCTGTTATTATTTACATGTAGATATTATCAACTTGAAATTTCACATTTTAAGTCAACTCTTGATACACATCTGTTAGAATTGCTTTGGAACAAATATTGGGTCAACACACTATCACAATCACCCTTAATTACGGTATCTAATATGTTTCTAAAGAATCTGGCTTTGAAATCTGGCATATTTTAAATTTCTTTAAATCATTTAGAATCGTGATTATTCAGCCGGACAAATTTCTGACCTTGCAGAAAAGTTGGAACAAACTGAAACGCAGTTACAACAGAGTGGTAGAGTTTCGGGTTTTCCCGGTGGAATGAGTAGTGGACGTGGGGCTTCCGCTCCCCAAGCTGCTACAGCAACTTCTTCTACGGTTGGAGGTGCTAGTGGTGGTACTGCTACACCCACTCCGGAAAAGAGGAAAGTCGAAGAGAGTCCACTCAGCAAAGTCACTCGGGATAGGTGCGTACTTTGAGTAATTTTACTTTCGAATTTGGTTTCTTTATTATGCAGACTTATTTAACATATTATTATTATTATTTCGCATAATCATTTAATAGTACAAAGATTACCGTTGAGGCAGCTCATAGTTTAATCTCACAAGTACTCAAAAATGTTTTATTTAATAAACCATAACATAACATAGTGGTGAATATATCTATTTTTAATAAATGACCGACTGAATATTATTTTTGAACTTTATTATAAAAATCGGCCGAATTGTATTTTTAACCTTAAATAAAAAAAAATGTGAAAATATATAAATTTATGATTTACATAAAAGTTAATATTGTTTCTCCATTGCCGAAATGTCTTACAGAATTTAGGGCATCTTCGATCTTTCGGATCTATTATATATTGTTTCAACTCAGTATTTTTTTTCAGCTTTACATAACTTACAAAATGGCTGTCTTTAAAGAATTATTTATGTTTTGCAAGTCAAACTTAATATGAACTGAAACGGTACTAAATTTTTCTGGAGACAAAAATTCCATAACGCCTTTCATTCCTTCGAACGATATGCTAATTCATTGCATAAATTATTAATGGCTACTATTCTGGTTATAAGCCACAAACCTCTATAGTCATTATGAATATTGCTCCTATAACTCATCAAAAAAAAAAAAAAATTGAAGGAATCCTTTAATTGAAGTTAACTTGATATGACAATTTGAAAAAAAAAAAATTACGTATTTGAAATTAATGAATTTAGAATTCATATCCATTAGTTTAATTTTTTAGAAAAGTTTCTTTTTATGTAGATCATTTCCTAATTATCAATGAGGTGATTAATTTGATTGGCTCAAATTTTATTATTAAAATTAAATAAGATTTTTTTAAACAGATTATATTTTTAGTTATTATTAAATATATCAATAATAAATTACTAATTATA